AGGGGATTCCTCCCTAACATCAAAATCCAAAGTCCATTCAAGTAACCGCATTTGACATGCTTGAATATAGTAAGATCTCCTAGCGAAAATCCATCTATAATCAAGATCATTAGCAAGTTGTATAACTACATGTCTTTGGTCAAGCAATCCAATGTGAAAAGCTCTGGATAGTTTTAGGTTAAGAAATTTTTTTTGAATAACATCTAGGTTAGGTCGTCTCAAAACAAATTTGCCAATAAGTGTCAAAGCAAAAGGAGCAGCTAATTGTTCAACAACATATTCTTCAAACAAGAGGGCCGGACAGTCTTGAAAGATGACTGCACAAATTTCAGATTCGCAGAAGAGGAGGATGAGCCAGCTAAAACATCTTTAAAAGACCTTGACTTCCCCTCAACAGGAGAGGAAGGGGTTGGATTAGGGTTTGATGACGAAATAGGCGTCATCACCCAGCACTAAAAATCAGCACAAACTTCAAAATGAAGGAAAACAATAGATCATAACGCATAGTGGGAAAGCTAAAGTTCGTAAAAAATGAAGAGAAGATCCATGAAATGAGCAAACCAGTGCATGCGACGAAGCCCTAGAAGAATCGTCCGAGAATCGCCTGAAAAACCCAGAGAGGGAAATTTATATAATGAACTTATAAGCAAACTGATTATTTTTTTCCTTTTCTTTATTACATATTTTAATAAAGCAAGTCAACTTAAATTCTATGAATAAGCTATATAAATAAAAAATTCATCTATGTAGGAGCTAGCAATGAAAGAAGAGATTGATTCTCTCTATAAAACTAAAACCCAAATATTGACTATGCTACTCAACAACAAGAAAGGCTTACAAAATAAATGTGAAAACAAAAATAAAAAAAACAAACAAACACTGAAAAATATAAGGCAAGCATTCTTATAAAAGGTATGCCTTGACTTGAATGAACTTTTCTTTATTGGGGTTAAACTAATAGTTATATAGTTAGAATTGAGTATCATAACTACAAAAGACTAGACCTAAAGTTGATGGATGTCAGGATTACTTTCTTTCATGGTAACTTAAAGGATGACAACCACATGGATCATCATAAATGCTTTATTGTACACAAAAACTGTTGTATAATCAACAAGCTCAATAAAAGCCCATTCGGCTATAAGCAAGCTTTCGACTAGTGGTGTCAAAATTATGGTGGCTTTATGTACATGATTGATTTTCTTACATGTAAAGTTAATCGATGTTGTTATGTAAAAGACAATAAAAAAGATTATATCAACTCACTTTCATATGCTAGTAATTTATTGATTGTATAGGTTAACATTAAGAAAATAAATAAAAAAAAGGAAATGGTTAATGGTTCAAAGGAATTTGACATTAAGGACCCAAGTTAAGCTAAAACAATTCTTGGAATGATAATTAATTATGAAAAGTTATGGATATTTTGAACCTATCATAATCTCAATACCATACATCTCATAAAAAATAAATGATCCCATTGATAAGTTTAGGCTTCATGAAGTTTCATTCAACCTTCATGAATAATGATATGGAGGAGCCATAAACAATATTGGGAGATCTTTTATTGATCTTAATAGATTAATACCTCAATAGTAGGCTTTCATAATGACATTTGATATTATTTTTGTCTGCAATTAAGTTTGCCATCTTCACCTATAACATCATTGTAAAACACACAAGTTTGAATCCTATGTAATCATTGTAATCTTGAAAATCTTAGTTTTTCATAAAGGCTCCTATTAAAATACTTCTCTTGGTCATTTGACCTATTAGTTCCTAATATTTAACTAAAGAATTTATTAATAAAAAAACTTTAATACCTCCCTTGAGATTTCGTTTGGGACAATTTTCTTATTGCTTTCTAAAATGCCTTTCTAGTAAAAAAAATTTTGTACTAAGAATTTATTTTAGAAAACAGTAAGAAAATCGTCCCAAATAAAGCTTAAGTCTTGAATCTCAATTTATGTTACATACTATTCAAAGCTAAGGTAACTTTGATTTTTTTTTTTTTTTTTAAATCAATATTTAGGGCATCTCCAACGGAGAACTCTATTTTTTACGGCAAAATACATTAAAACTCCAAAATGTCGTGTTGCTAATCGAATCGAACTGCATTTTAAGTACTTCTGTGAAGGTAACGATCATTCTCCCTTTCGCGCATTTTTCCGGTTGAGAGAGCAAAATAATGTAGGTGAACAGTGCAATGCCAATATTGGCGTCGCACTATTCACATGCAAGTAAATGGCTGAAGATTTGGCATTCGGCTGGAGCGACCGAATGACGCCATACGCATGTTTGACGTTCGGTTGGAGATGCTCTTAGTAAACTTTAAATTTATGTTTCTTTTGCTCTTCTATGAAAATATACCTTAGAAATTTATTCTAATATTATATAAAAAATAGCATTTCAATCCATAATATCTTTTGTCTTTGATTAGATCATACCATTCTAACTAACTCAACAAACCTTACTTAAAAATCTCTCAGTATTTGTTTCCTCAACACTCTCATTGTTATTTTCTTTGTTGCTTACCCTCTGTGTAACTTAGGCTTCGTTTGGGACGGCTTCTTTATTGTTTTCTAAAATGGAGTTTTAGTACAAAATTTTTTAATTTTGTACTAAAACTCCGTTTTAGAAAGCAATAAAAAAGTCGTCCCAAACGAAGCCTTAAGCTTTCTTAGAATTACTTATTGAATGCCTAGAAAGTGTTTCCCACAAACATTTATTCTTTACGATAACAATTTATTATACATCTTTATTATACCATCAAACATATATCGTAACAAATTATTATTATTATTTTTAAATTGTACTAGAAAACAAGCTGTTCCAAATGAAGATGGGACAGCTTTTTTAATGTGTTCTAAAGCAGTTTTTTAGTTAAAAAAAAAATTGTATTAAAAAGTTGCTTTAAAAGCAATAAGAAATCCACCTCAAACCAAGCCTAAGTTAAAAGATTGCTATAGAATAAAAAGTTTACATAATCTAATAAGCTTGATTTGGAATGGCTTTCTTACTGCTTTCTAAAGCAGCTTTCTAATACAAAATTTCTTAGATTATGATAGATTATGCATGTTTGTTAATGTAATTTAAGTTCACTACTATGATCAAATCTCCGTGGGGAGCCGCATTGAAATGGGTGGATTCGGCATCTCCTCCTCAAAATCCCCAGATTTATGGGATTTAGCCGAAGAAGCGCGTGGAAGGAAGGAAGAATTGCTACCTTCGCAGTGAGTTAGCTCCTGTCATTGTCGTTGCTTCCGCTCGAACAAAAAATGGCAAGGAAGGAGTTCGGCTAGGGCTTGAGGAGGCGAGATTTTGTATCCGAAAGGTAGGCACGTCTACGAAGGAGGCGAAGAAGTTTTTTGGCGACTTGTTCAAAACTCTGCCTATCACACGAAGGCGGCGAAGTAGAAGGGGCAAAAAGCAGTGGAGAGGGGAAGAGCGGAAGAGCTGGAGGTCTGTTGCTACAAAATATTATCAAAATTGACGGTGAATTTAACAGCAGTTAAAACCGTTGTCTATATCTATCTATAGTGGTGGTTTTAAAACAACTACTATAAACTACTGCGAAAACATTAACTTTTTAGTAGTGGTTATCATATGCATGCTATACAAAAAAAAACATAAATTTAAAATGCTAATGATCGAATGAATACTGCAGTTGCCAGCATCGATGATCAACCATGGTAATTTTGAAAATGTGTTTTAAAAAAAAGATAGAGAATTATATTGAATCAATGCAAAGCGTAAATAAAAAATATCTTAATAGCCTCGCTTGACATTTTCAAAGACCAAAAGGAATTTTTTTTCATAAAAATACTTGTTATGCACTTGACTTCTAAAACAAATGATTACATACAGAATGATTCTTTTTAATAATTATACATAAAAAGATCAAAGAAGTGTAGCTTAAATTTACTAAGGATTATATCAAGCACGCAGCTCACTTTGCTCTGTTAGTTGGGAGCTTCAACTATCAATCAAGATATTTTAGATTTGAAACTTACATATGTGATATATGTATTAGTTTATCATAATTTGCTTAAATGTCCCAACAAAAACAGAAGGAAGAGCTACCTAAGCGTCCATTTGCTTAAGATATTTTATAATTTTATTTCTCAAAATAATTGTCACGGCTCTATTTAGCTACAATTTGTTGTAGTTTTTTTTTTGTTGTTGTTTCTTTAAAATCTTTATGATAAGAAAAAAAAAAATTTTGCAACAAAAAATATTAGAGTTAATAGTTATAAGACCATAAAAAATATTATTGAATTAATAAAAAATTATAATGTTATACAATTTGGAAGTGAAAACAACAAAATAAACAAGAAAAAGTACACAAACACAAAGATAGAAATTGATTTTTTTATTAATACTTAAATAATAATGAAAGAAATAAGTGATCTACTATTTGAGAGGTAGATCAGCTCTCCAAATCAACATAACTGCTGCCAGGACACCCTCAAAAAGAAAACTACAACGAAAAAATCAAACACAGCTTCCCCACTTTTTTTTTTAATTTTTTATTTTTTTTTATCACAGCTTCCCCACACAACAAAATAACTAGCCTTAAATAAACCCTTCTTATTTATCTCCCAAATAACTTTACTGCCTTAGTTAATTCCCTCTCTTATTTTGAATTTAAATTAAATTAAAAATAGTAATTAATCCCCTTATTGCCTTAATTAAATTTCCTCTCCTATTTCAATTCAAAATTAGAATTCTTTTCTTGAATTCTAAAAGAATTCTAATTAAAACTTCCTTAAATAACTTCTCCTTCAGGGTTTAGGGGGACACAAAATCCTCTTGGTTCTGTTGAGAGTTCAACCGAGCCCATGGGCTGTTTCGGCCCTAACTTGATGGGTTGGACCAGCCTCTCTACTCCCCTTCTCCCGCCGTCCCATAATGCTCACAACTTAAAAAAAAAAAAAAAAGAAGGAAATTTCTATATTTATTTTTATAAACAATTATAGATGTCCCAAACAGATTCTAAATAATACTGCAAAGCACAAACTAAAAAATAATGGATTCCATGCTTCAGACGGTGGCTGTACATAAAGCAGAAAAGATTATGTACAGTGCAAGCACAATTCTGTAAAGTCATTAGATTGTATTCAGAATTAGGTTTTACTGACAGCAGCCTTGCAGACGGGGCATGCATTCTTCCGAAGAAGCCACTTCTTTATGCATTCTATATGAAAGCGGTGCTCACAGCCCAGTTTTCCCACTTCATCATCCATTTCATATTCCTCCTGCAAAACAAAGAGGATAAATAGCAACGAAGCTCTACGATTTAAAGAAAGAAATATATATAAAGTTGCATAGATACCATACTTGACAAACGCTGCATTTTCTTTCCTTCTCAGTGGAGATACGGATATCAAAATTTAAGGGTTTCACTTTAATAATACTGGATGCAATTTCTTCCTCTCTCAAGCCAGTACTGACATATCCAATCTTGTCGCCAAGTTCAAGCAAATCCTGCAAATTGAAAATCAGATAACTAAGGGTTCATGCAGTGCAGAAGTTGCAAGACAAATAAGAAGAAACAGAGTTCAGATACCTCGTATGTCATATTATCAACATCAAGCCGCCAGTCACTGTGTCTATCATAAGCATCCCCTCTTCCCGATCCGACTCTATGGTGGAAACTCATTATCTGCTCAAAATTATTTTGCAATCAAAACAAGAAAATCAATTGCTATACAAACTCATTTACCAAAATTAGCGCAACTCTACAACAACAACAACATCAAGCCTTTGTAACAATAACAACAAAAACATCAAGTCTTTGTCCCACTACGTGGGGTCGGCTACATTAACCTTTTTTTTTCCATTGTCCTGTTAAGAGTCAAGTTCTCATTTAAATCTAATAAAGAAATATCATTTCTAATTTTTTCTAACCAAATCTTTTTAGTTCTAAATCAACCTTACTTAATATAAATCAAATCTAATACCTCTACTTTTTTAACCGGATCATCGGAAGGCCGTCTATACAAATTTAAAATTTTCAACACAAACCAAGAGTAGCACTGAGGAGTCCATTGAGGGAACTATAGATTTTCTTTTTTTCCTACAGAAGTTCGCCAAGAGATTGGAACACTCCCAAAACAATTACAATAAGAAAAAAAATAAAATAAAAAATTTGAGGCGGATAAATGTAGAAAGGATTTAAAAGAGAATTTTATTTTTAATAGGACATAATGGAGAAAAAGGACAATATTTGAACAAAAGAAAATGTTTATAAGATGTAAATACAAGAATGCAAAAAGAAAATGCCAAAGTAGCCAGCACAGCTGACACTAAACTGGATGTAGCAAGGATCACAGGATAAAGTAACTAAATGGGAGTGTGCAAAAAGTGGAATGGGTAGACGGATGACAAGAAGAAGGAAAAAAGTTAAGTTGATAAGGAATGATATGGCTTGATTGGATTTTTCTTTACGTTCTATCTCTCAAATCAGTCGCAAAATACCACTCAACAATTGTCAAATTATCAGTAGGCAAATTGGCAAGTTTATATGCAGAAACAATAATTCTCCAACCTTTCAAAGTCCATAGAATTCCTCTGCTCTGTTTAAAACTATATGTAAGGGCAAGCTGCAAATCCTTAAGAATAGGTTGTATTTAAGAGGAACTGGGAAGGCTTAAGCGCAGGAATCGAATATTTCCCTGAGAAAAATTAACGCCATTAACACCTACATGCACCTGTACGTACAAAAAATACAACACAGTACTTTTTGACATACAATATAGTAACAATTATATTAAATTGCATCATGCCAATATATATCATTAATATGTGTCGAAAGTGGTTATATCCGGTCAAGTTTTTTTAAAGGAGCCCACCATCAGCTCTTGATTATATGCATCATGCGGATATATAATATAACATCTGGATCAACTAACATAAAAATAAAATGATGAGATTTAAATGAAATTGCCTATATTCTGATCTAGATTTAAACATTGGTATTATTAAATTTAGAAATATATTCGAGGAATAGTCATAGGGTATAGTTGGATTGCATCAATACTCAAGAAAAATTCTTTAAAAATACTAAATGTTCGATTTCCAAAAAGTTGGATTTACCAAATCAAAATTAATGTGATATGCTCAATTCATTTGGAGAAGTGTTACTAGTAAAACAAAATCTATAGAAGGTAATATGAAAGATAATTTAAATAATGATACTTGTTATTTAGTATTTATGAGGATCAATGACATGATCAATTTGAAATTAAAAAAGGTGATTATAGTATGGATACTTTATAAGTTTGAATGATATATCACTAAATATTATATGCCTATAGATTATTTGTTGTCAATGCTTGTTTCATTAATGGTCCTAAGTAATAAATTAAGAATAAATTGAAATATAGCTCTCCAAGGATATTAGATGATTTAAAGAAAATTTATCATCATCTCATCTAATTCCTTTTAAATACAAGTCAACGCAACAATCATGTATGATCAACTTTGATCCTATTAAAAAAAACTATACTTCATAAATATTCTTTAAATATGGATATATAGAAGAAGATTAATAACTATGATATGAATTTTAATCTAATTTTGTTAAATTTAAACTCAGACCATAGCCTAGAATAAATCAAGTTCATAAACTAAACCTAAACTAAGTAGAAGTTAAAAACAAAATCTAAAATTGAGCTTGAGATTAGATATGAACATAAATATTAATTAGATTTTGAATTTTAGGCTGAATTTAAGCATGAGATCATTTACTAAATTTAAATCTCAACTATAATGTGAATTGACACCTGATTGAGACACTAAATAAATCAAAATGTGAAATTGATAAATCAATCAAATTTTTTTGATAATGTAACTTTGATGAAGTAACTAATGAAATTATCTCTACAAATTAAACTAAAACCATTTATGTTTTTGGTTGGTTTACAAATTTGTAAATTCATAAAATGAATCTTCTAGAGAATGCTAAATTTTTCAAATGAGTCATTAATGATGATTCTCTATAAAAATTTGAAATTTGAAATTCCATCTATTTAGTTGAATATAAAGGTTCAAAAATTCATCAAAGTCCATCAAGACTCTGAATGATTTTATACATAAATACTTAAACAAATTAATTTCAATTAAGATATTTATTTTGTTTAGGAAATAATTCTCATTAAATTGGTGAATTTCTGTAATTAAAATCACATTTTCTTTTTGGACTTGTAATTTAATTGATATTAATTTTTAAAGTTCAAAGAATTTTTAATTAATTTTAATTTCATAATCTTTCCATCTAATGTCTGCTTGCACATAGAATGATAATTAAAAGTTATCACTAGGCCTAACACCATATCAAATTAAGATAGTTTAAGTTTCATTGTTGGGTTCTAATTAGACAATGTGAGTTGAGACAATGGTGTGATCAAGTGGCTCATAAGTTAAGCAAAAAGAAAGTGAGTTCATTAGATTTCGATTAGATGAATCCCAAATAGCAACAAGAAGAGATGACAAAAGAGTTTGACACCAACTTCAATAATCTTGTGGATGGAGGGTTTTACTATATAAACAAGATTCATTGGATTTCAAACCAATGATTATCGGATCATCTCTTAACTTTGGCGAGGGATTCTTAAGGTTAGGGCTCCAAAAATTTAGCATGCTTAGAACTCACTCCCTAGACTTCCTTACAAGATCATGAGTATAGCTTTGAGCTCATATGTACAAGGACATATGATAGTCCCACTGGCAAGCAACCATAATGACAAGTGATCCTTTTTTTTTTCTTATTATTTGTTTTTACTTTATATAAGGTTAAAAAAATCCTTAGGTGGTTTAAGGTCTGGTGCTTAAACTATGGTTCCTATTCCCTATTATGTAGCTTATTGATGGTGCAAAAAATAAAGCGCTTCATGATGGAAGTTAAATGCATCACCCACATGCAAACCTATGTGGCAAGGTATCTGACTTATGTGTAGAGCATTTAGGGCTTGATTTTGGTGAAAATTGGGGTAGCTCAAGCAGCCTAATCTCTCATTAAGGCTAAGATCCTCTCAGTTGGCTCGAACTAGCCTAAGGATGGTTTAAATCAGCCTTGCTCAAGTCAAATTATACATAGCTTAGCTAAATTTGAGAGTTGATGAAGCCAATTATGATTCATCCTAAGTTCAAGTGCTTCAATTCGACTCAAGTGGGTACAAGACATTGGTGTTGGCTTTGGCTTTGAGTTAGAAAAACTCGGCTGAGGCTTAGGTATGCTGAATAGGGTTTGGCTTAATCCATTAGGCTCAAATGGCCTAAAGAGCATCCAATTGAATGCAATTGCACTCAGATGTGGATGCACCCATTGACCACCTAAGGTTAACCTAGATCATATCAGACAACTCAAATCAATTAGAGAATAGGCACGTCAACCAAGGTAGGTACACTATCTAGTGCTCATTTTGAGCTTGCTAGAAGTTGTTTAGAATGCCTAGATTACCACAGGCCAAACGAAGATAAGCAGTCTATCAAAGTTAATTTTAACCACCTAAGGACCACAATGGATCACCTAAGACCAAGGAGGGCAAAGTTGCAACCCATTAGCTAGTCTTAACCCATTTAGTCAATTGGGCCAAAAGCAATAGGCTTCTAAGTCTGGGATTAAGTAGCATGGGTTCTAAGAAAAAGTTTCTGGGATCAACCTCACTTTCAAACTTTTTGAAGGTAAATAGATTCAAGCCACAAACGTATTCAAGTTCAAGATACTGGTTTAGTAGTGCACGTAAGTCTTTTCCTCTCAAGTAGAATTTGTTCTTGTAAATATATGTATATTGGCTGGCATATTAAAGAAACAGGAAAAAGATTGATAGAGCTTGCAGGACATAAAATAGAACTATCAATGTTTGAAAGGCTTGTTGATCTAGCAATAGATTAGGAATATAAATACACATTAGGATATTTTTAAAATCCAAAACTTCATCAAAATACAGGTTATTAGTGGTTTTACCTGCTGTAAACTGGTATGCATGCTAAAAAGGATGGAAATAAGAAAACTATATTGAAATAAACATAAAAAAATCCATTTAAGGGGGCAATAGAAGGGAATTTTTCAGCAACAATCAGGCTTAATGTATTGAAGTTAAGGAAACAAACAAAAAAGCTTCAAGAGTGTTCATAAGTTCGAAATTTTTTTAAGCAGAAAAGATTAAATCATAACAAGTACGTCATATCATGGTCCCCATGCTTGGATTTTCCTGTTGTTGCATTTTTTTTTTAATTTTTGCTTTTGCTTTGATTGCCTTTTTCTTTAACATAAAATAAAAATAAATTTGGATGGTCTTAGGTGTCAGTCTTTTTACATGCTAGTGCTATCTATCAAATATTGTGTTTGGTAAAATGTTCTTGTATTCAAAGATGCTAGTATTTTTAATAAGGATTGAAATTTTGAGATCTAAGGACATCTCAAAGCTATTGGCATTTTGATCAAGATCTAGATGTGACCGAACTAGGACATCACAACCATTTTTAAATTTACTATATGGACATGTCATCAAACTAATAGCATGACATAACAGTGTGATATTAGTGAACCAAACAACCTCTTGCTTTTTTAGAAACAAAACTTGGAACTATACCACTAAAAAAAATTCCCCTCCTTAAGACTTGTTTATTAACATAAGGGAATCTTATCACGGTCTATGTCAATTTCTAGAACATATGAACACACAATTTTAAGAAATACTTATTACAATCCATTCTGAAGGTGACTTCGGTACCTTACTTGGCAACGAAACTTTTTTTTAATTTAATTCCTAGCTTCGCTCACATACACTGGACCAATCCAAGGAAACATCTTTTCTATTATAGATTGGACTTTCTCGCACATGAGTTAATCTCTTTACACTTCCATTCCATGACATAAGTTATTCTTATTCTGTCAAGCATAAGCAACCAGTAGATTTATCTTTCAAAAAACACTGAAGAAATAAAAAAAAAAACTGCGACCGAATATAATTTTTACCTGAAATGAAAAAAAAAAAAGAGGAGAGAACAAGAGATAAAAATTTGGCAAGTTTCAACTAAGAATTTTCTATTCATTCAAGCAGCATCGGAGCCAATGAATATAAATATTTGCTCATGGTTGCAAATAATTGAAATTAAAAATATAATAAAAATGAGAGTGAGATTGGAACCTCTTCAAGCTCAACAGGACGATGGTGGTAATATCCTCGAAAGTGATGGTAACGCCAGGATGAACTGCGATCCGTTCCAACGACCGCTCGAAAAGAGGGAAAAGTCTCTTCCATTGAATATCTCAGTTCTAGGTTGCCATGTCTTCTCCCAGAATAAGGCCGCTAGCGTCATTAAAGAATGCAATGAATGACTTCAGAACCATCAGAAATAACCACCAAGCAGCAAGACAAGTGAGGCAAGGGAAACCATTCAAATTCCGAAAAAACATTTTCCGAAATGATTCGAATACTTCATATTTACTTAGGAGGAAAAGAGAAATTATCACAAAGCAAAATTCTAAATTAAAGAGATGAAGAAACGGGTCATTATTGTTTCGATTTATCTTCTTCTCAAAAGATGGTGATGAAAAAGGGCAGACCGATTTCCAAGAAAACTTGTTAAGCCCGTTTGTCGAGCAAACGCTGCCCCGTCAAAAAAATTCCCGACAAACCGCAATTTCAGAAAGCGCTGAATGTCTAACGATGTTGAACCACAATAAATTTTGATATCCAATAAACCCGAAACCAAATACATACAGAAATGGAGTTTAGATGGAGATCAAAACATTCCTAATCAACAAGCAACGAAATAACAAATATACAGATACCTCACTCAAAGCCCTCTGGACCTCATGACTATGATTCCCTACAGATTCATCCCCCGCTACAGAAGAGTTCGACGATGACGCCTTCTCACGTGTCTCCTTCTTATCCTTCTTCGTTCTCCGCCGCTTGGAACCCTTCCCCTCACTATTTTCCGAGGAGCAGACGGAAGAATCATCTGAGAAGGCGCAGCCAAGGCCACAGAAAGCTGAGGAGCCGAAGGCCGTCTTCTTACCCACAGCCGAATTGGCCGCCAGTGGTGATGAAAGGGAGGGCGACTTGAGAGGGTTGTGATCAACGGCAAGGGATGATGACCTTCTGAGATGAAGAAGCCTACGAAGGCTGCGGCGACGAGGAGACGGGGAAGGGCTATCGGGGGACGCCATTGGCACTTAGCAGTAAGGATTTGGGCTCCTTTGTTTTCGGCCTTATGAGATTGCGAGTTAGCGAGCGAATGATGATCTGGCGGATTCTGGTCTTGGCATGCGGAGAGAACAGCACGTGTCAGAAATAGTAGGCGGGCAGACCAGCCGAATTTGGGGTCTGAGCTACTTAGACGTGGAAATGCTGAAATGAGAGGATTAGGCCCAGCATTTATTGAATTTCTTTTATTTTGTTTTTGTAATTTTATTATTATAAAAATATTTTATGAGATATTAAATGATAATTTACATTAAAGGATGCCATTAGGTCCTAATTTTATATATTATTTATTTATTTCAAATTATATTTTAGTGGCTTTATTTCTACTTTAATGCTTAAATAGTACAATATTTAAATATACATAAGATTAAGGTTTTCTTTGAGGAAATTTTCATATTTTTTTTAAACTGGTTTTTTAGTACAAAAATTTATTTAAGATGTTTTTGTACTAAAAATATGGCGTCCGTCGGTAGCTGGGCGAAAGCTCAATGTTGGGTAGAAGTTCGATGACGGGTGGAAGTTTGGTGTTGGATGGAAATTCGACAACAGGTGGAAGTCTGGCGTCGGTCAGTGGTCAGGAGGTGGTCGAGGAAGAGTCTGGTGGCAATAGAACTCTTCGTTCTCTTTATTCTCTTCTTGTTTTGGCTCCCCTTCCTCCTTGCTTGGCCCCCTCTTCCTCTCCCCATCAATGAAGAATGAGGGGTCAATTTATAGTTTTTGGTGAGTAACATGACTAGTAAATAGGAGGAAGATCAATGGTAATTTGGGAGTAGTTTGAATGAATGACCGATATTGAATCACCTGATCGCGGAGCATTTATTGGACATTTGAATGCTTTAGTGATGTTAGAATTTAATGATTTTGAGTTCATAGGATTCCTCTCGTCGAGCCACTCAATTCGACTACAAGCATGTCACGTTTGGAAACCATTTGGTAATCCAAATTATGATTTGACCCTTCCAAATATGCTTCGAGTATTCAATCAGGGTTGATTTGGGCCTGGATTGAATCGAATTTGGTATCGTATTTTTGAGACATTTAGTTCGGCTATAAGTTTGATGAAATAAAAGTTTAGATGGTCTTAAATTTAATTTTTGAAGTTTTCAACTTAATTTTTACCTCAAAATTTGTGCTTGATAAAGATAATTTTTTAATGATATGTCAGTTGCCCTCTATTTTTGGACATTGAAGCTCTAGAAGTCTGAAAATATGCATCATAGCATTTGGAAGAATTTTATATGCAATTTGAAACTAAAAAATAATTTGATCTTTGGCGTAAATGTCCCAATTAGTTTTAGAAGTGTCAAACTTGAATCTGGAACATTGAAAAATAGTTTCGGGGACAAAAAATGTCCAATTTGGATTGTTTGGGCCTAGACACACGTAGGCTGCCAAACTAGCCGGCCACCAACAGCAACCGCCTCTAGTAGCTCACGCTAGCACGCGGGCGAAGGGGCGCGCCCCTCTTGGGCACACGATTTGCGCTGGAGGTTTCGACCACAACCGATTGTAGTCACATGTAATTTTTTTTATGCGGGACCCACTTTTTTTAAAATGATTTTAATGATTTTTTTAATAAAAAAATTGTCCCTTTTTGCCCCAAAAAATTTGAAAAAACTTCTAAAAATGTTTTAAAAAAATTTAAATAATTTGGATGTAAATTTCCCCCCAAATTTTAAACCATTTCCTACCTTTTTCAACCTATAAATAGACTCTTAAGGCAAGGGAAAAATTTTCTCCTCCTCCTCCTCTCCCTTCTCCTTCTAACTTTCTTATATTAGAAGCATTCTGCTATTTTTGGTAGGTGGAATCCCCTACTCAAATTCAGTGCCCCTCCATTATGTAGAAGTTAGAACTTCTCACTCTTGTTCTTCCCCACTTTCCTTCTTACTACAGAGGCTTTCTATTATTTTTGGTATGTAGCATCCCCTACATAAATTCAACGCCCCTCTTTAGTGTAGAAGAAAAATTTTTCCTCATTCTTATCTTCTTATGTGTTCTTCTTCTTACATTAGAGGCATTCCATTGTTTGAGATCGGTGACATTCCCTATCAAGCTTCAGGGCCCCTCTTTTATATAGAAGAAGTCATAATGAGACAATATACAATGCTTGACCAAAGAAGATCAATATCTGATTGTATGTGAGGGTGATTTAAGAAGATTTGGCAGTTATAGTACATAGGAGGAGAACCAATAATTTTTAGTAGATGGGAAGAATTTTAATGATGTTTAAGTAGAAATCTAATGACGATCGGCAGCCAAGTGAAAGTGTGGCGGCGATCTGTGAATGGGTGGAGAGCTGAAGAAGATGGTTGGAAGGTGTGCTACTATCAGTAGTTGAGCGAGGAGCTGATAATGATTGATATGAAGTAAATGATTGACGTTAAATATTATATGAAGTGCCGATGATTGCGGGTATCAAGTAGCATTTTTCTAAATATAAATATGTATCCATTATGATGTGCTTATACATCAGATATTCTAGATTGAAGGGGTCATATTAGTGTGCCATATTAGTATTCTGGCGATAGATACACTAACAGTGTTAATTGAGTGAAGGCCTGATGATGATCAGGTTCTAATTTTTCTTTGAAGAAGAAATTGCAGAAGATGCTTCAATGTGTAGTTGAGAAGAGATCAATAAAAATCACCTAGGATATTTAACTTTTTAAAGTTGTTTGTTGTTTAATGACATTAACAAATGATGATGATGTACTTTTAATTTTAGCTTATAGTAAGAATATATGTACACTTGAATTTGATGTTTAATATGTATATAACTCTAATAATAATGTATATGATGTTGAGATTATTTTATGAGCTTGATCCTTATTTTTCATTTGAAATGAAGTTCTGAATTGTATTATGGATCATTTGGAGACATGTTTTGATTATATTGCCCCCCCCCCCCCCATATTTTTTAGGCTTTTTAGACTATTAGGTCTTTATATGAGTGATGAATTTCCTAATTACTTACTTTTATGAAATCTTTTTATAGAGAATGTTGTCCACTCAAAGTATTGCTCGATGATATTGACCTTTGTGGAAGAGGTCGAGAGAATCTACCAAGGATGTATGGCTTATCCAAGGTTATTTAACAGAGCATTTCTTAATAATATCAACTTCCGTGGAATAGCTTGAGAGAATCCACCATGGATTATGAACTATCTAAGGTTGTATGTTAGTGCGTTGCTCGATGACATTAACATATATGGAAAAGGTTGGATTAAATGCCCTTGGGATCGATCATCAAGTGATTGCGACACAATAAAGATTATGTATTTCTTGAATCAAGGACTTTATGATTTGATTTACATCTTTATAAGATGTTTGACCTATCTGAGGTTATATATTAGAGCACTACTCGATAATATTTGAAATGAACTTGTCCCCAAAGGAAGCTGAATTGTTTATGCATCTTTGAGATATACTTTAATATATTGCCCCCCCCCCCATATTTTTTAGGCTTTTTTAGACTACTAGGTCTTTATATGAGTGATGACTTTCCTAATTACTTACTTTTATGAAATCTTTTTAGAGAGAATGTTATCCTCTTAGAGTATTGCTCGATGATATTGACCTTTGTGGAAGAGGATGAGAGAATCCATCAAGGATATATGGCTTATCCAAGGTTATTTATCAGAGCATTGCTTGATGATATCAACTTCTATGGAATAGATTGAGGAATCTACCATGGATTATGACCTACTGAAGTTGTATATTAGTGCGTTGCTCAATGATATTAATATATATATGGAAAAGGTTGGATCAAATGCCCTTAGGATCGATCATCAAGTGATTATGACACAATAAAAATTATCTATTTCTTGAATCAAGTACTTTATGATTTGATTTACATCTTCATAGGATATTTGATATATCCGAGGTTGTGTATTAGATGACTACTTGATAACCATTCACATATATGAAAGTGATCGAGAGAATCCCTAAGGATATTTGACCTATCTGAGGTTGTATGTTAGAGCCTTGTTTGATGATGTTAACTTATATGAAAGAGATCGAGAGAATCCACCAAGGATGTATGACATATTTAAAGTTATGTCAAAGGTGCCCTACTCGATGACATTTACCTATATGAAAGAGGTCACGAGAATCCACCAAGGATGTATGATCTATCTGAGGCTGTATGTCAGAGCCCTACTCAATGATGTTAACCTATATGGAAGAGGTCATGAGAATCCACCAAGTATGCATGACCTATTCAAGGTTATATGTCAGAGCCCTACTCGATGAAGTTAACATATATGAAAAGATCAAGAGAATCCACCAAGGATGTATGACCTATATAAGGTTGTATGTCAGAGCCCTTCTTGATGATGTTAACCTATATGGAAGAGGCTGCGAGAATCCACCAAAGATGTATGACCTATAAGAGATTGTATGTCAAAGCCCTTCTTGATGATGTTAAGCTATATGGAAGAGGTTGTGAGAATCCTCTAAGATTGTATGACCTATCCGAGATTGTATATTAGAGCCCTGCTCGATGACGTTAATCTATATGCAAGAGAATGAGAGAATCCACCAAGGATGTATGACCTTTAAGAGAGTTTCTATTTGCATGTTTTACATTATTACAACTTATATAGTTTTGATGATTTCAAATATTATTGTTTTATGTATAGTTATCTCCTAACATTTTTTGGAAGAGTTATTTTTGCTTTTGTGTGTACTAACATTTCAGGAAAATCAAACTCTAGACTACAAAGACTTCAAATCAAATTCAGCATGAGATACTTTGTGTATTTAAAACTTATATTTTTCTTTGAATTAAGTTTGAGAGGGAGTGATTATAATTGAGTTAATACACACACACACACTTTAGGAGATCTTGAGAAATTTGTACTGATCGTACGGGATGAACATAGTTTGTACGGGATGATCAGGTCAGTTATCTCCTCGTAAGAGCAATGGAACGAACAGGAGTTGAAGAAAAATTTTCTAAGTCCTGATCATCCAGGATGAAGTGTATTCGTCCCAGGATGAAATGTTCTCTGGAAAATTTTTTATTCAG